TTGCTTGCCAACAAGATGCTCAGTTCCGTGGCACGGGATAAAGTGCTAGCTAATGTATAGCCTTCTCTTTTGCCCATTCACCATCAAAAGACTTTTAGAACACAAGCTCGGCGTCACAGGAAGCGATGACACCATTGCCAAAGCGGATGACGTGTTTGTTCGAGAGGTCGTTGCTGCGCATACATGTTCGAGCACCAGCTACGAGTCAACAAGGCTTCTCTGTGATGTGCTACGTGTATGCGAGCGGCATAATATCGAAGTCCACACCTTCGCACGTAACAGCGAGTTCAGCAAACTCATTCTTGCGCCAGCGCCAGCGCTTCCATAGTTTGTTTTGTCCTTGTGCCGTGGGGATACGGGCATCTTTCTGCAAGGCGCACACGAGCTGCACTCCTCTGCGACCGCAAGACTCGTCGTCTAGGACCTCTCGGCCTAAACCATGACGACTCCCACCCCGCTTCCCCTTTCCGGGCCAGGTCTAGTTTGCAGATATCTGATGAGTTCTGCCTCGGAGGAGTTGCCAACTGGCGTAGTTGAAGAAGATCCCAAAGCAGAGGAAGTGGGGGAAGCGCCAGCTTTGAAAGCTGCTTTCATGTGAGCTACTACCGGATCTTGATCCGCTTCTCCCGGGCGCAATCCCATACCGCCCGCAATGGGTTGCACGCGCCAATTCTGCGGTGCACGATAGAACAAGACTTGACGCGGGTCAGATAGCCGTAGAACGTTCGAGGGAGACTGAGCGGCTATCAGGGTTGCCAGCGTACTCACGAAAAGATACCCTGCAAGCGCAGGAAAGTAAGGCGCAGTAGCGGTGTGGCGGTGTGGCGGTGGTCAGCAGCCAACGCAGCACCTCTCCGCCGCACATCAAAGTTCCGCTACAATGAAGTTGCAGCTGCAGTCGTACTCACATCTGAGCAGTCCATCACCAGGACCAAAGAGCTGATCGCTCAGGATCAAGGGGTTGTCCATGACCGTCAGACAATTGACTACGTCGAACTTGTTCTGCAGGTGGTGCGCGTGAGTCCGGTGTGGCGGTATCAGCTATGCGCCTAGTCCAGCGTTTCCCTCTCTACCTGCCTCCAAGGAATGCGCAGTACCCACCTGCTTTGCAATGATGAGCAAATCACCGACGAGCTGATTGAGCCTTGCTTTCAACGCGCTCTTTACTTCTGCGCTTTCTTCGTCCCATCTCGTAACATTGGCCTCATCTTCGACCTCTTGTGGTGTCAGACGTGTCACATTTGTCCTTTGCCAGGGCTCCAATGCTGCTGACGCCGACGAACCAGATGCAGAGGCTTCTGCGGCTACGGCTAGAGTTTTGGGGGAGCTTGAGGGGGATGATGATGAGGCATGACGGAAGGGAACGTCGGTGGCGTAGTAGAAGAGGTAAGCTGCTTCCAGCGTGCCGTGCTTTGCAGAGTCCAGAACTGAAGAGGGCAGGCTATAGAAGGAGAACATGTCCGTGATGCGTTTGGTGTTCGGGTCCTGTGGTCGGATGGGAAGCGAGTCAACCAAGGGCGGAGTCGAGCAGCACTGTCCGATACGCGCGTCGCTCACCTCGATGACGAAAGTCCAAGTGACCTGACCCAATCTCTTTCCATCCTTTTCCGTCCCTCTACCGCTCAGGAGCACATGTTTGACCTCCTCGTCCCCAAATCTAGGCGCCATATCGAACCTCCTCATATACTTTCTCAACAACTTGCCCACCTGCTCCACATCCCGCTCTTCCATCTCTCTCAACCCCTCGCCCTTCAGCTTGGGCTCATCCGGCAGTGCGAATTTTTGAACATATTTCTCTCGCGACAGTCCAGAGGGCACTGCTGCAAATCCAATGTCGAGCAGCTTGGGAGCGTTTAGCGTACGGTGATAATACCTGATCGCGCATCGTCATGAGAGTCGGGCGAGGGGTGAGTTCAGAGACGCTCAGTGTAACTGCTAACTGCTACTCACCTTGAACAAGAGACGGGTGTGGGCAGTACGACACCAACGGTGTAAATGGCCTGGAAGATGCCCGTCAGGTGACACTGACGCGTGACCTCCTTGATGAGCACGGGTGCCAGCCTCTTGCTTCGCAGCTTCTTGTGCACACAGAGGAAGTTGATCTCGGTTGTTTGAAAGGCGCTATGGAGGCGTAGCAGAGTCACTGGGCGTGTTAGCTACTGCTGAACGGAATAACCACACTTCAGAAGGAAGTTGTGATCCTCACTTTTCCCTGACGCGCAATTCATGTGGAATGCCAGATATAAATGCTACAAGCTTCTTTGTGGAGCTGACGCGCACTCCGACGTGCCAAGTCTTCTTGTATCCGGGATGTTTGAGGACCCTGCGTACCAAGAGGATCATGAGCAGCCATGCAAGCATCACACTTTCCACGAAAGCGCTACCTCCTCCCTCGCCCTTCTCGTGAACGCTGCTCACCACTTCAAGAATTCTGGCGCATAGTCGAATCTGAGACTAGCATCATCATCTTCGACATAGTTGGCCGACAACAACTCGTACACCTCTTTGCACTCTTCCTCGTCATCTATGTCGACGGTGACCCACTCAAAATCCTTGGGTAGGGGATACGCATCCTGTTTGACTTCGTGAGGAGGCTGAGCAGGCTGTATCGGTCCTTCTTGAGAGGACGAAAGGAGGGGAGCGTCGTCTGATGCGTGTCATGCAGGAGGGGAGAGTGAGGTACATCAGCAGAGGAGCGCAACGCATACATGCTCATTCCCGGCTTCCCCATTACTCGCTCGCTCACGCAATGTCCAGACCGCACAGACTCACCAGGTCTAGCAACTGGTTGAGTCTTCCAAAATTTGTGATCCGCAATCGCTTTGCTGCCCTTTTGTTTGCTCTCCTGGTTCTTCAGCAGGCTATCTCTCTCCAAGTTTAAACGACTCATGATCTCGGCCAACGTCTTGCGATCCACTTTGGAAGCTGCTTGGGTGCCGTGCTGAGCCGAAACGGAAGCTTTGATTTGCGAAACGACTTCTTCGGGCAGATCTGGAGTCGAGGTGGAACCGGCAGCGTTGCTTGAAGGAGCTGCTACGCTTGTAGAGGGAGCGAGGTCTGCTCCGCTGGCACTCGAGTCATTCCCAAGCCCAAGCTTTTTACGCAATTTGGCCGCTGCTTTGCTCCTCTTCTTCTTCTTCT